TTCACAGCCCCTTTTCCCTTTCCACTAAAAACAGTGCTGAAGGGGACGGGAGAAGGAAGAGCTGAGATTATTTCGGTTTTGAAGCAGCATTTGCTCTTCAAGTCTCCTCTCTCTTCAGTCAATATTTCCAGTCCAGTCTCAAATCCAGTAAAAGGCGGGGGAGAAAAAGGGGCGGAATGAGGGGAGGAGGCTGGGCAGAAAGGGCATCCCCTCAACTTCCTCCCCGCCTCCAGGGGCCAAGCTTCTCTCGTCACTTGCTGGTGTCCTGTCAGCAGCTGGGCTCCATTGCACCCCAGCTCTGGCAGTGGGGTAAATGAGATTAGAGTTCCCCTGTCCCCTCACACAGACAGCCATGACAAAGCCACAGCGTCATGTGACATGTAGAGTCCTTCAGGCACACAGTGCTGAATGCTTTCTTCTGCATTTCCTGCAGGGGGAGGAATCTCATCCCCTCCCCGCCATGTGAAATTTCCTTAATAAGAAGCGAGTCTGGAGAGAAATTTCTGGCTTGGCACCCAGGCTTTGTAAACCTTCCATTTCTGATTTGGGACCAATAAACCCCATTTTCTGGCATATAAATGACAATACAAATTAACTTGTATTAAGTGCTTATTTATTATACACCATTTTTCTAACTTTTCACATGCATGAAACTGTTTAATCTTTCCAACAGCCTTGTAAGGGATGTTATAGCATCATTCCCACTTTACAGATGTGGAAACTGAGAAACAGAAAGGTTAGGTAAGTTGACTATGGGCACAACATTACTAAGTAGTGGAACCCAGAAAGCTCATGATCATATCCACTCCACGAGTCATAACGTTCCATAGGCACTGGCTAGGGGTCGTGAAGAGTTACAGTGAATATACTTTTAGTTCGGAAATCAGGACATAAGGGACAACATCGTGGAGGCTGTCCTGGGAATTCAGGGGTGTATGAGAAATGCAAAAATGCAGGTAACATCCCAGGGATGGTGAAGACCTTTTGTGGAAGAAATGGGGACCTTGGAGGCAGGGGCC